TCTTTAATGAAATACTGATCAAAACACCACTAAATGAAAAAGACAAAGTGTGATGTTTTATTTTACCAAAACATTGCTCCCAAAGAGTGCTTTAACACATTTGTGTCAGCACCTTCAATCTTCACCTTGTGTTTCAAAGATACTACGATGTGCTGCTGGTACAATTAATTTTTGCTGGAGGCTAGACCAGTACAACAAGATGCAAAACAATTTTAAGATGCAGATTTTTTAAGCATGTGATTTTCTGCAGAAGTGATGTGCTAAAAAGAAAATTAAGGACAATTTTGAATCTTATGGGATTTAGGTCGCCCCTCAATGCAATGTAGATTAGGATAGAGGGTGATGGAGATTACAGCTATGTTAGAATTTAACTCATTCCTGAGCACTACTCTAAGTACATTTTAAGATATTCAATGAGCATGCTTAAAATTAATAATGTGTTTAACAGCTTTCTGAAGTAAAGACTTAGTGTTCTCAAAATATTTTTAAGGCCTAAACATAAAATGGAAGTCCTTTTATTATTCTTATAATTATAGCCTGTATAATAATATATCTTATAATAATTATTATTATTATTATATCTTATCTTGCACCTAAAAAAAGTTTTGTGTATCACATTTAGGCTCATAAATTTCACATAGGTAAGATTAAATGAGATTATTTTCACACAGATAATAAAACTAGAAAAGTTAAAATAAAGGAATGTAGGTCCTGAACTGAGATATCAAAGAGTATTATACCATTACAGGAAAAAATGAATCTAATGACTTGGACACACAAGCAAATTATGAGGTTATAACACATCATAGACATCAGTTGCTCTGTAAGGACTTATGTGTATATCCACCTATAAATGTGATACAAACTTCTTTTCATAAATGCAAAGTTCTTTGAACCTTTTTGAAGCCTCAGGTACTTCAAAGTAAACAAAACCCTGCAAGCCTGTGCAGCGCTCCTGCTTGCTTATCTTAAAATTGTTCTTTATGTTGTCTCACATGGAAATATCATTTAAAAATCTGTAAGAAAGGAAACTGAAAAGGTAACAGTTATATCCCTTAATACTGTGTTGTACACAGTCACTGTTTTTCCATTGGATGTCTACCTTAAGACAGTTTCTTCTACAAAACTTTCCCGAACATGCTTATAAAAACTGAAAAGTAAGCGTCAAAGCTTGTTTAATCCTGGTTTCATCCAGGACAGAGTTATTTTTTTACAGTAGCCAGGAGTGGTGGTGTGTGTCTGTGGTCCCAGCAGCCAGGATACTGAGCCCACTGGATCGGACTGCTTGAGCCCAGGAGCTGTGGGTTGCTGTGTGCTCTGCTGAATGGGCCTGGCCATCACCCCAATATTGTTGAACACCATTTTACACCACTGCCAGGGACAGGGGAAAAGGACTTTTTCTCTGGTTTCTGGAAAGAAAGGCATTCCTTTTCCAGTTGGGACAAAGTGTGGCATGGTGTGGTGTGGTGTGGAAAAGCTGGTTGGTATTGGTCACGGGCTTTCTGTGTAAATAGTTTTTATCTTACACCTTTTGTTATTAATATTTTTGCTGCCACTGTTCCTTTTTTTTTTTTCTTTTTTTTTTTTTTTTAATTTAATTTCTGTTTCCAGTAAATTGTTCTTGTCTAAAACTGCAATTTTCACCCCTTTGTGCCTCCAATTCTCAACTCTATCCCTGGAATAGGAAGGGGAAAGGAAAGGGATGTGAGCAAGCAAGTGGAATCTCATTTGGGAGAGTCTCAGAGGGTACTAAATTGGGAATGTCACTGCTTAACCATGACAATGTCTTTATAGCACATCTCTTTTTACATTAAATTTGCTGTCTTGTCAAAGAAGGAAATTATGTTGCTTCAGCATAATATGCTCCTGATGTTTTAACCAATTTATTAACTTCTTGGTCTTGATAAATTGATTTCTAATAATGTGTTTTAGTACATTTTTTAGAATCAAAGCTAGTCTCATCTAATAATTTTCTCGATCTCTTCTTCTCAAAAATAGATATAGCACCTTCCCATACCCACTGTTTCTTACCTTACAAGACATCCATAAGTTTTTGGAAGGAATCACTAATAGTCCACACACAGATTCAGCTAATCCTTTGAACACACTACAATCAACATGATCAGATCATTTCCATCAAATTCACTTAGTCAAACATTGGTTAGCCAATTTTTTTATTGCATACCCTCTGGTAAAAATTTATTTTCTTTAATAGCTGATCAGTTAATTGCTTTTGATGAAGTAAAAGGAGTCTTTTCTGTATCATCTGCTCTCTTTTCCTCCTAACTAAAAATCAGAGGATGTTACTCTAATGAAAAGTTTTTGTTATCTTTCATACTATTATGTACTTTAACCTTTCTGACATCCTGTAGGATGACTCTGCTCTTCTTTTCTACTTCCAGTCATGGTGTTTTGATTCCACATTTTGTACAATTCCTTTTCAATTTTTAGAATGTTAGAGAAAGTTGATGCTGTCATATTTTTCTTTTGATTTTTTTCTGCTTCAGGAGAATTTTATGTTCTACATTAAGCACATTCAGTGCAAGATTTTCTGCACTTCTTTTGTCCCTCAAATTTCTTTCCAAGAATCGTTCTACTCACCAGAACTCTGAACTCATTTAATTCTGTCCTTTCAGAAATCTGTTATCCTCTTTCTACTTACAGTCCTTCCTTTTAACAGTGACTATTTTGTGACAACTAAATTTTTTAACCAATGTCTCTCTTAGTGAAAATCAAGTCTACTGTAACTACTTCCCTCTTATCTGTCTCAGTCTTGTGGGTGGATCCTGGCCTGCAGCTAAGCACCCACATGGTCACTGTCTCACTCCCCTACCATTGTCCCCTATCAGGATGAAGGAGAGATCAAAAGTTGAAAAACCTCATGGACTGAGATATTTGCAGTGTAATAGGGGAAGGGAGAAGGGAAAAAATCCAAGTGGTGCAAAGGCAATTACTTTTCACGTCCCATAAGCTGTCCAGGCAATCTCCAAGCAACAGCTGCTTTGGAAGAAACACCTTCCCAATTTTTATTTCTGACTATATGAGAGAATGTCTCTCTGGCCAGGTTGGGTCAGCTGTCTCAGATATATTTCTTCATAACTTCTTGCCCACACCAAGCCTCTTAATTACAAAGGCAGAATAGGAAAATGAGGAAATCATGAGGCTGTGCAAGCACTGTTCAGCAACAGGCAAAACATTGGTATGTTTTAGAAACAAATCCAAAACACTTATAGGATTCTATGAGGAAAGTTAACTCCATCCCAGTCAGAACCAGTTACAGGGTTCTGAAATAAGTAAATGTTCCCAGTGTTGCCAAAACTTTCTTAATCACTGATCTTTTCACATATTAGGTTAAGCGACACCGAGATAATAAAAGTTCCTTGTTATCATACAATCAGAGAATGGTTTGTGTTGGAAGGGACCATACCATAGAATGGTAAAGGGGGTTGGAAGGAACCTTAAAGGTCATCTAGTTACAGCCATCACACCATGGGCAGGGATGGCATCCACCAGATAAGATTGCTCAGGACCCCATCCAACCTGGCCCTGAATATTTACAATGAGACACCCACAACTACCCTGGGCATTCTGTTTCAGTGCCTCACTGTCCTCTGAGTGTAGAATTTCTTCCTAACATCTAATCTACATCCCTTCTTTTTTAGTGGAAAATTGTTCTCCCTTTATCCTATCACTATCTACCCATGTAAAAAGGTGTTCTATTTTATGAGCCCCCTGTAAGTCCTTTCTTGTGCTCAGTACTCCAGAGCAGGACACTGTACTCCAGGTGGGGTCTTACAAGGCCAGAGCAGAGGCAAAATTAAGATGAAGGGAGCAATGGAAGGATTCTCTTAGTTGCTCATAAAAGCCTCATGATCTTCTAGAGAAATAGTTTGCACTACATCCATGAAAGGACACAATCTAAGATATTTTTCCTCTTTAAAATTCCTTTAGAACTTTCCACAGGTCTCTCTTATCCCTATCTTTTCTGTAGAACAAGTATTTGTGAGAAAGCCTTCAAAAGCTCAGAGGTAGAAATGAACATAAATGGCAGAAATCACAGAACATCTTTTAAAATCTTTTGAAATACTGGAACAGGGACAGAGTAGACCAAGGTTACCAGGAACACCTACAGAGTTTTGTAGTTGAGAGTAATGATGAAACAGGGATTCTCTTCTCCAAAAATAATATTTCTATCACTTCAGCTGAGGACAGCTATATGATAAAACTTCAAATCTCTTCTATGTAGCATGGAGGCTCAGACCTAAAATGCTTCTGGTTGTCTTATTCTGAGATGCCACCCTCAAATTTTCATCTGAAGTTTTCAGACCAGACAAGGCGTGAAAAAATACTTCTTCAATGTGTCTGATTTCACTCCTGAGTTGTTGCTCTCAGAGCCAGTCTCTCTACATTTCAGCTACAGTAGAAATCAGCCTTAATTCCTTCCATGGATCTGGAGCATAAATTCTGAAGTACTTTTGTGAGATGTAAGGTTTATTGAGCAGAAATACATGTGTGCATGGTAGCCCTAACAATCGGTAATGCTTCACTAAACATAATTGATTTGGAAAAAAAAGTGGATGTTTCCTCAAGTTTGGAAAAGTTCTATGACAAAAGGCACCTGGGAATAGGACAAAGACACTATCAATACCCTCCTGAACAGCCAAGGAAGAAATCCAGTCCAAACTTGGTTCTCACCCTTGACAAAAAAAATCTGTCTCTGAAATTGTTAGTTATTTCACTGATCATTGCAAATAAAAAAGTCACAAAAATGAGTCCATAGCCAAGCACAGAATCATAAGGACTAAAAGTTTAAATAACACTCAATTAAGAAAGAAAAAAAAATTAATAATAGTACTAGGAGTGGGAGCATTAATAAGTACTCAGATTTCATTATAATTTTGGTAAACATTGCACAGTGCCATTGGGAGATACATTTTAGGTTACCATAATTTTTCTGATAAAAATTGTATTCAGGTAAGTTCAAGTGAAATCTCACTTACCTGTAAAGTGCTGAAAGTGGCCGCTTGTTGCCAGGTTTTGGTCTGTATGGTTTTGGTTCTCCTGCCATGTTGATATCTGAAAGAAAACATTTTATATCAGTAAGTCAAACATCTGGAAGTTTGCAAAGGCACCTTCAAGTCCCTGAAAATGAGTAAGAGGCAGTGAAAAGGAACAGCATACCTTAAACACCTGTCTACTTTTTACCTCTTCTGAATTGATGCCATAAAAGTTTCCAAAAATTTTTTACTGTAATGCATAAGGATTTTAGTCAAAATACCAGTTTTTGTTAACAGAGAGAAATTACATTTTTTAAACACAGAAATTTCTACTTGATGAAGCCAATAATGTATTTCTAATAGAGAAGATTGGATAGTAACTTAGATGGTGAAATAAACTATGATCTCAAGTCATATTCTGTTGAGGAGTATTGCAATTGTTCTGAAGATTTCCCTTTAGGATCTAAAGAAATGCACACTGATCTTTAACTGCTACTCTATCATCCACTCAGAAAGTATCGATTTCCCATCCCAAATGCATCACTCCTTGGAGAATGAGAAAATCTGGGTTTGCAAGTGTTTTCTCTTAAGCAGATACTTATTCTTCTCAACAAGATCAGAAATCTTGTGAACACTTTCAAAGTTCACTTATATTCTACCTGTAAATTTATGTTTGAAATATAAAAGAAAGTCAGCCTAATATAGATATAAGCTTGATATAGATATATAGATATAGAGCTTCTATAGAGATATATAGCTATATAACTTCTATAGACATTATTTTTGTTCTCAAATTTGTCTCTTCATTTGAATCATGCTCAAAGACATACCAGGAGATAGATGTCTCATTATGATTGCTAAAACAGTTATATGTGGAGAAAAGAGCAGAGACCCTTCTGTGGAGAATACCTTCTGGAGCTTAGGAAGCTGTCTGTATAAAAACAAATCTGTATGAAAAAGCTCCTCCATTCTGATTAAATGTTGCAAAACCAACTTTACACTGAATCACATGGATAAAGTGAAACTTTTGTTTAGGAAACAAATTTCATGCAATTTGTGGGATACTACAGCTAAATCTCTTCTCAGCTTCAATAATATAAAAAAATGAGTAACTCAACAAAATAATCAGAATTATTTTAGGGTAAAAATGTTGTGACAGAACATCATATCCTATTAAATGTGGAATCATGTGGTGGTTGAGGTTTGCAAGAAAACGTATGTTTTCAGTAAGGTCTATTTTAACCTGAAAATTCTGTTTTAACCTGAAATTGACTGGGGTGGAGGGAGATGTAGAAAGATAAGGTGTAGGAGTAGGGATAAACACTGCTCAGTGAAGTGATACTAAAAGCTCAAACATTTTTATTTATTATTTTTGACCTCAAAAGCTGAAGTAAAAGCCTGAGACTTATTGATTGGATACTTTTATTTCACACAAAAATAATAAAAAGCTCCTGATCTGACCTTTTTTAACAATCAGGATTATTGAAAATGCATGTCCCTTAGACTTCTTTTTGACAGAAAATATTTTGCCAATGGAAATTTCAAACTTCAACTATTTAAAAGAATTTTAAAGATTTTACACTTGTTTTTGGTATTTTGAGCTCAGTTGGTATGTATTTAAAATTATACAATGACCTCATATAAAATGCTTTTATGTAGAAATATGTAATATAAAATACTTAAGCAACATTTTCCTTATATAAAGTATTTTGGTGTTAAATCTTACTTCAGTTTCTTCTGTAGGAGCCGTATGCTACTAAATCATAATTTTTCATAAAATAGCAATTTTCTTGTTTCATTTGGAGACAGTTTTCATGCCTCCTTGAAATGCTTTCCTTCCCTTAATTTTAGCAAGTGCTTTATTAGATATATATTTTTTTTGTCTTCCATTTGTTTATAAGTTCAACTATGATGCCCTTATTGCAAGATATATAAATTCTAATATGTTGAATGAACAAAGTAAATGCCAAGAATTTCTGAAAGCCACTGAGGAATTTTGATAGCTCTGTTGCATTTCCATCGGCTCCTGGAAACAACAGAATTGAAACAAAATTTTTATCCTGTGACCTTTGCAATAATTAGACCTTTTCATACTATTTTTATATGTCAGTTTAAGGTCATTGACTGTGTTGGCTTTCACAATCTCCTACTACAAGTTGGACAGATATTAAGGAAAAAATAGTAGAATTTTAATCTGCTCTTGGGAAATATCTCAGGCTGTGGTATCCTCTTCACAATACCATAATCTTCACATATTTTTCATCTCTCATCTGCTACTGTTTCAGAGGTATATCTTAAACATTCTTCTCCTTATACCCTTATTTACAGGTTTTAAAAACTTTTTTCATATCCTCCTGGGACAGATCAATACTATCTTGATGACTGTTCTTATAGACCTACATTTGCAGCTCTACAAAACCCACTTTTAAAAAAGTTGAGTAGTGTAGAAGCTAAAGGCTGTTAGTTATGTGTTCTCTTTATTTCAATCAAAAATGTCAGAAAGGTGACACTGTAAGAGGCACAGTGGCAAAGCTGTTCAGAATCAGTTAAGATTCCCTCACACTTAAATAAATCTCTAAACAGTGAACTACTTTATACTGATAGTAATAGCCAAAATTCTCTTTAGCACAGGAAATAGTTCTTAGAAAAGCTGTGCACATGGAGCTTTTCTGTTAATATGAAAGTGATTGAATAGCTCTGCAACTCCCAAAGCACTTTGTAGCAAGTTAAGAATGGATGTAGGAAATGCTTTGAAAAGTTAGAAAAGATTTTCACCCCATTATTTTTTCAGCACTATCTCTTCCAGCCTCAATTTTCTAACTAAGATTAGAAGTGAACTTGTCAACATTTCGCAAGATAGATTATTTCTATCCCAACTGGAAATCTTGTGAGATAAGCTGTTCTCTTCCTTCATCCATCATTGGTTTAACAGCAGACATTTACATCTACTAGATCATAAACTCTGTGTCAAATAAATTTGCTGTCAGCAGCACAGAGATTCACCTGTGCTAATGATTCCACCCCAAGGAATGCAGAAACATGTCACTCCTTAAGCTGTCAAATTAGCTACTACACTTGCACATGAATATGTACCAGACAACTTCTTTTACAGGGGACACAGACATTCACATTTCTTCTGGAGAGGCATGGATTTGATGAATTGGCACCTGATGGATGAAGATATGGCTCATGGTCCTGCTCAAAAATTTATTAAACTGGTAGATTTTCTAGTGAAGACCAATGACGAGTGGCATTCCTTGGGGATCAGTATTGGGGCTGTTGCAGTTTAACATCTTTCTTGGCAACACAGACAGTGGCATTGAGTGTGCCCTCAGTGGGTTTGCCAATGACACCAAGCTGTGTGGACACTGGAGGCAAGGGATGCCATCTAGAGAGACCTTAATAGGCATGAGGAGGTGACCAGCGGGAACACTATGAAGTTCGACAAGGCCAAGTTGAAGGTCCTGAACCTGGGTCTGGGCAATCCCAAGCACTAACACTGGCTGGGCAGAGAACAGATTAAGAGCAGGGTTAGGGAGTAAAGATGAGAAGCTTGATGTGACCTGGTAATGTGCGCTTGCAGCCCAGAAAGCCAGTTGCAACCTGGGCTTCATCAAAAGCAGTGTGGCCAGCAGGGCAAGGGAGGGGATTCTGCCTCTCTGCTCTGCTCTCAAAGTACTGTGTCCAGCTCTGGGGCTCCCAGCATAAGGATGTGGGCCTTTTTAAACAAGTCTAGGGGAGGGCCACCGAGATAATCAGAGGGATAGAGTACCTCCCCTATAAAGACAGGCTGAGAGAGCTGGGGTTGTTCAGCCTGGAGAAGAGAGAGCTTTACAGGGACCTTTCCTATGTGGGAATGGAGCAGCCCAGGGACATTATTTTCTCAGCTTGTATACTAGAAATGTTCACGAAGATATCAATACCAAGATAAATTCATCACTGAAATTCAAAATACTACGGAAACATTATGAATGTAAAAGTGAATATGCAGAAAACAACACATTGTAATGCAGCATCCTGGTTTTATGTGCTTTCAGAATCAAATGAAATTACACTCTTTATCAAAAGAAGTCCATTTTTAGTTCTACACTTTCTTGTTATCATGGCATAGCTTAGTCAAATAATGAGATTTAGATTTCATTCAAGGTTGTGTGTCATCAGAAGAATAGACCTGATTTTGAGCATAGTATTTTTATTTGTAATCATACTGAAAATTCCTGGTGTTTAATGACAAAACATAAAAATAATTAAAAAAAGAGCATGATTACCATTTAGAAGGGCATTCATTGTATTGCGTGGCTACATAAAATTGTCAGAAAAGACAACTCAACAGAGCATGATCTACATTTCTCCTATCACCATTTCCTGCCACTGACAACCTACCTCCTCCAGACATGAACATCCCACCTTTGGAGAGGCAGTATCTGCTAGTCCTTATGCTTTGCTCCCAGATTACTGGCAAAGTAATCTGACAGATCTGACAATCTGGTGCTGAAGACAACAGCAGACTTAAAACAGGCTTTGTAAGTGCAAGCAATGATACCTAAAGACCATTCATACCCTAGAAGTATTTCAGTATTTCTTGGTATCCTTGCCCTTCAATTTCTTTAAAAGATTCTTTAAAAGAAAAAACAAAACCAAAATAATTTTGGTTTGCAAAAACAAATGCCACAAACAAGAAGCTTCAACAGGCACTAACTCAATTCATGAAAACGGGGATTTTGGATTTCTGCTGCCAATGCAGAGCCTGTGCCTCAGGCTACCTCTAACCTACAATATTAAATGGAGCCCTTTCAAGGCATTAATACTATTTTATCTGTTGTATTAAATTGTTAAATTGTTTCTTTCCATAACTTTTAGCCACAGTTTACAAGTACTGTCTCATGTGATTTCAGAATATAGGTAGAGAATGGACATGAGCTAGAGACCACTGCAGGAATTTTGCCCAGTGAAAGAGAACAGATCCACATAACTATAATTAGTACCTGTAGTTTAATATTAAGGATGTGACCTCTGAGTGTGGGATCCATGTCAGATAGACGGGAAACCAAAACCTGGAGCTAAGAAAAGTCCAAATAC